AGTGTGGTGACGGCACCAAGTGTGAGCTCTTTCAAGACCAGAATTGACCAACACTGGGGCAGGTTCAGGTACATTCAGAAGCCAGTGCATGCCCAGTACTTGCCAACAGCGCGTAACAGAGATGTAACCGATCGCCCAAGCGGCTAACGAGCCGATCAGTGGTGAAGAGGATAAAAGTAAAAGTAAAAAAAAGAAGGTAGGCAACGGCGCCTCTACAGCACGTAATCTGCACCTCGAGGTGGACTGAGGGGGTGAAGAAGACAAGCGCCCGCGACCCCAATCATAGCCTCTCGCTCATAGCGACTCATTATTTTCCGGTTTCTTATCTAAAGGGAGTCCAAGTTTCTGCAAAAATGTCATAGAAATTCTGTATAATAACACTTGAACCTCTTTTTTTATTTTTCAACTAGCAGAAAGGAAGGAGTGAGGGCCAATGAGAGGGCTAACTAGCCGATCATTTGGTGAAGAGGATAAAAGAAATAAAAAGAAAACAGGGAAGGGAGGGTGGGAGTGGGGAAGTGTCATGTGACGGCCTGTCCAAGTGACGAGTCAAAACGAAGCCGTAATATGCTATGCTGATGATATCTGCATTATGACACAAACCAAACTCAGGCTCCAAGCCTTGCTGGATGTATTTGCTCGGAGAACTGTTGAATGCGGTCTCATAATATCTGTTGACAAGACGAGGGTCCTCAATCCTCGGCCTGCTCACCCTCTGCCTCTTGACTATAACATTAACAGCATGCCCTTGGAACTATGTAGCTCATATAAATATCTTTGAATTTGTATGAATGATGCAAACTTTGTCAGCAACCTTCGTGCCAAACTAATGCAGCGCATTAAACCCCTCAGAACCCTTGTTGGCAAGGGCTATGGAACTAACATCACCTCTGCTCGTACTTTCTATCTTCACTTCATTCGTTCTGTAGTTGACTATCATGCTCTCCATCTTGTGACTATTCCGCCTAAACAACTCAACAGCCTTGAGGTAGTGCAAAATGAAGCCATGCGCATCATCCTAGGTTGCCCAAAATCAACCAGAATTGTAAACATGAGGAAAGAGCTCGGACTGCCCTCCCTATCTGAGAGGATAGCTCTACTTAATACCATGTTTTGTGTCAAAGTTTTGAAGAACAATGGTTCTCAAACTACAGCTCAAACCGAGTTGATGTTCTATCTAAGTAATCCCGACCATCTCGCCAACCTTCCACAAAAGACTCTCTTTGGGGCGTGGCTTCATAAAAGTGTTGCAGATCTCCTGAAACTGAATGTCCCAATCACCCCAGACGAACCTATTAATGCCATTCCTCCTTGGCTGGATATATCAGTTCCTATTAATTACACTCCTGTTGGTAGTAAGCAAATGTTAAACACCGATGTGGTGAGATGTGTCACACTAGAAACTATTAACAGACACATAGAGAGTATTAAATCAAGTGAATGTTATGCTTTTACTGATGGTTCTGTGCAGACAAACACAGGTAGAACAGGCTGTGCAATTGTAATATATAAAGAAAAAGAGATGATAGTGTCAAACAAACAAAGGCTGAACAACTGGGCCAGCACAACACAAACTGAACTAACTGGAATCTACTTAGCCACAGACTACCTCAAAGAAAATGGAGGTGGGGTGATATTCTGTGACTCTCAAAGTGCTTTGAAATCAATGAACAGCCCGTCAGGCTCTATGTCTAAAGTTGTATGTGATATTAAAAGGAATGTGATAACTGCCAATGAGAACAACTTTCGTATCGAATTTGTGTGGATTCCGTCCCATGTTGGAATCAGGTATCATGACCGTGCTGATAGACTGGCCAATGAGGCATGTAAGAAAGAAAATGTTGACCGTGACCTTGGCCTGTCCAATGCTGTAATTAAAAACATTCAAGTCAGAATCATGAACTCTGATCTAGAAGAAGTGAGAAATGCAGAGACCTGGCAGTTGTAGCATTAGTAAATATGACAAATTTTGTGACAAGAGGTACCGGTATGGCCAGCATAAGGACAGAACCAGACAATGTGATGTAGTCGTGGCCAGAATTAGGCTAGGATACAGACACATCTGGCAAGTTAGTAACGCTGTACCCATACCGGAACACTCAGCATGTAAACTTTGTGATAAACCTTTAAAGCATACACTTGAACACTATATTATTGAATGTGACACTGTCAAAGACTTCAGGCCACCTGACTTATTGTATCTTGAACTATGTAATTACTTCATTGAATCAGGTGTGCTTGAGGACATTCTTGCTGTTTATCCCAAATTTGCTAGCCCACACTGATTAGTCTTCAATTAGAATATGACTCCAATGTATGTGATCCACTGACCTATATATACTGCTAATGAATATGATGTATTTCCTTCTTTGTGTACGAACCTCTGTCCTGCATGGCAGTGAACAGTGGCATTACCCACATGAATCTGACCGACGTATATGTATGTATGTGTGCGTGTGTGTATATATGTACATGTATATGTGTATGTATATATGTATATGTGTGTATATGTGTGTGTGTGTGTGTGTACATATATGTATATGTACTGTCAATGAATATGATGCATCTCTTTGTGTACGAACCTCTGTTCTGCATGGCAGTGAACAGACATTACCCATATGAATCTGACCTCTATACCAGTGGTTCTCAACCTTGTTTGCCCCATGCACCCCTTTCACCATATGTCAGAATGTCATTCCCCCCTCCTTTCCAAGATTGTCTGCCTCAAAAAGTGCATTCCAAATAATATGCATATAATACTGAAAATCCTTTATTTTTTCCATATTAGTACATATACATTTACAATTTTACGTGGATTATTTTTATAGTGGAGTTTTACAAATTAAATGCCAATTGAAAATGTTGATGGATTTATAAAACTTGAATAAAAGAAAATAGTTTTTTATATTTATAATGAATTACTTAACAGACCAAACTGAAGCATAATGCAAAAAACAAAAAGTTCAATAGAATACCAGGATATTGTAAATTTGTAATTAATTTTATTCAGATGAAGATTACAGTCAATGAGAAACCTGTGATTGTTTTTTCTTCGCCAATTCTGGGATTCGCGGAGGAGTGTTTGAAAGGGCACAACGCAGGTGATTTTCTACCTCTAATCTACTACGTTGCTTCGTTTTAATTTGCAACTGAGTTGAAAAGCCTGACTCACAAAGATATGTCGACACAAACGGAAGCAGGACACGGATAGCTCTTTCTGCCACTTTTGGGTAGGAATCGCACATCAAGGGCCAAAATTCTGTGATTGATTTCTCATCGAACAATCTCTTGCTCCCGAATCAGTTTTCCCACCCATGAAAACCTGAATTCCCCCCCTGAATTCCCATAGACACGAAGTTCCCAAGTGCTTTCGTGTAATTACATAAAAGCGCTTGGGAACTTCGTGTTTTCTTTTTCCTTGTGGTTATCAGCATATACCTGGATCAAGCGCACCTACAGTGATTTACTTGCATATATATATTTATATATATATATATATATATATATATATATATATATATATATATATATATATATATATATATATATATATATATATATATATATATATATATAATATATATATATATATATATATATCATATACATATATTATATATGTATATATATATATATATATATATATATATATATATATATATATATATATATATATATATATATATATATATATATATATATATATATATATATATATATATATATATATATATATATATATATATATATATATATATATATAGCTATATATATATATATATATATATATATATATATATATATATATATATTCCTGTTACAGTATTCCTAAAAAAAAAACAAAAAAAACAAGCATATTAAATTTACTGCACTCTTACTGTCAAGTTTTTCTGGTGTTTTCTTTGTTACGAACCACGCCATCTATTGTCATGATCTACCTACCCAGCACCACGAGCAACGCCATCTAGGGACGAAACCCGAGTATGACTAGTCTTAGTTACCACTCCGGGGTTTCCCTTCTCCATATCCTGGTTGTTGCGTCACCTCCAAGTCTTCCTCATCAGCTCCGGATCGAGGAGTGTTCAGTTCACTCTGGGATCACCTATCCTGGAAACCTACGGCACAGTGACTACCTACCATCTCCTTCAATACTCAGCCTTACTCGTCAGCCATCTCGGCTCCGCACTTAAGTATTTGTTATCCCATATTGCCTCCCCACGTCCACTTGCTTGAAATGTTGTATGTTGTATAAATATGTATATACTGTTAAGCCAATGTTGCGTATGTTTAGGTTAAGTATGGTTAAGGGTAAATTATAGAAAGCTGAATATTTTGTTAAGGAATTTATGGTTCTTTATTATACACAACAAAAACTCGCATCCTGTGTCTACCCTTTTATAGTCCGACTGTCTTTGTTTTTTTATTGTTGTTACCTGTTGGGATCTGGGTAGACTTTTAACTATATTCTAAATCCCCAACTCGTAACACCTTGTAAAGTTATCTTTGTAAAGCTAAAATCGTTTTGTATGTCAGCTTGGCGAATTTAAAAGAATAACCTCTTTGTGTTTATGGCACTCCACATTTGAAGAAATTATCTGGATTAACGTTTTTAAATCCTTTCAGAATTTTGAACGCCTTTATGATTGCTTCTGTTGTTTTAAGATTGCATGTTTGTCGTGTCTTGCTACAAGATTTTTATTATCGCGGGGAGTTGCAGATATCATTCTTTTACTTCTGTAAGTTCACATTAGTTTGAATATGAAGGAAGATTAGAATAAAAAAAAGGGTTTTCCTAAAATCGTACCCTTTTCGTCCTCACTGTCCCCAAGGCAATAGATCTAAAAAAAATGGCGATTCAATTAACATCTTTCTGTTCAATTTTTTTGTGTTTATAAATAATATATGTATTTTTAGACAATATATTATATAATTATGGATGGTTATTTTTTCAAACTTAAAATACAAATATTTATTATATGTTGAAATGGAATCGCAAGCAGAGGCGGGAAAAGGGTGCAGCAGACGGTTCACGCTCAGTAGCCGAGATGGCGGCGCCAGCGACGAGTGTGGTAGTGCTCGACCGCGGCAACAATACCACATGCACCGTCAATTTACACGGTAAGTCTTCATATCTTTATCGTTTCTTACATCCTTGAATGTATCCTGCGGGATATCTTTGGGTAGAAATAATGGCAGTGGAGGAGTCACGGGAAGGTGTTAGAATGACAGGAAGGAGCGTAGGAACATGAGACGCCCGCGCGTGATTTTGGTCTGGTGGTGTGGCGAGTTTTTTGTCAACACTTTGAACGCCCGGCTTGTCGAAACAAAGGAAATTCAGGAAAACGCAAAATCTGTCCTTTGTTGAGATGTTTAAATCTAATAAAGCAGGTCAAGAGGATTTCGGAGAGTGGCGTGTCACGTTTCAACATATCAAATTAGGGAAATTACTAACGTAGAAAGACCAAGGGAGACCTATTTTTTTCCCATGGTGGGGAGGGGTTGGGCGTAAGATGGTCATCAGGGATAACTCTCAGCTCTCATAAACCTTTGACAGGCTAAGTATAACGGCCTCTTGTGGCTTTTTGTAGTTTTTATTCATAGCTTTTAAATTGTTGCCAAACTATACGCAGTTTGAGAATGACCACACTGTATCATTGCCTGTAGCTTACCCTACAGCTTTTTAGACAGCTAGCCAAATTGCCTTATCTGTCCACCAACTTTGCAATATCCTATTTAATGATCATAGACTAGTTGGGTGGGTGTTGGTGTAGTTATAGTTTCTAGTGAGGTAATTCAGTTGACAGGTAAATAAAGCAGCCTCTCCAGCCCTTGGTGTCTGGGCTCTGCTAAAGGTCATTGTACTAATTGGATAATATATTTGGATGAAAATCATGTTGGTGTTGTGTACACTTACGGCAGTAAAACCCTGTGATATTTTCAATAGAATGTAAAGTAGTGGAAGGTAAATTAATTTTTGCACTTGTGATTTTGTTTTTATTATTATTGATCCTTTGGTAAATCCTGGAGCAGATAGCCGACACCAGAATGAGTTGTTTGACTAAGTTAATTTTTTCCACAGATGTTCTTTGGATGAAAAGAATAAAACTGACATGACAATGCACATAACTTAATAGAACCTGACCTTACCAACCATAGAAACATGCCTAACTTCCTCTGCCTCTTGGACCCCCTCCTTTCATATTAAACAAAAAGTTCAGTAAATTTTCACTTACTGCCACTGTTTGAAATCGAACTTAAAACTGTTTTTCCATTGTTTTTTAATCTGTTATGAATGAATTTGACAATCATTTTTGGTGTAATATCAATAGTTTCTGAGATAAGCTCCCTCCCTCCCGTCTCAGAATCTAGAGACTTGCAATATAAATCAAGGTAAAAAGTGTTCAAAATTCATCAGAAAAACATTTGAATCTACACTAACTGGGGGGGGACTTTGTTTGATGTTCTGGGTGTGTACCCCACCACATTGTTGGATGTTCTGGGTGTATACAGCCACGTACGAACTCACATAATAAAATGTAAAATATCCCGATAAATGTGATTTTCACCAGAAATGCCATTAAAGAAAAATGTCATCGAGTTGTTAAAATTACTTATTGCAACTATAAAATTACTGATACTGTATTTGTGTAGTGGCAACAAGAGAAATAATACTTAAAGTTCTTACCTTGATATTTGGTACCAATGAAAGCGACTTTCTTGAAGCGGCAGGGTGTAATTGAAATTTTTTGTGGATGTGATTGTACGCTCGGGTTGAGCAGATCGGTTGTTGTACGGAAATTAACCAGAGTGGATTACAACGCGCACTGACACGAAAGATTTTTCAGGGGAATATTTACAGTAAATAATAAATTTCTATGTGTACAAAGCACTCAGAGACATCATTTTAGTGTCATGATCATTTTCTTTTGATGTTTTACCCTGCGATTTCCCTCATTTATTGTGATTTATGATTGCAGGTAGAGAAAAACTAAAAAAGTGCTTATAATTAAAATAAAAAGTTGTATTGTTTTTATTACTTACTATCATCTAAGGAACATCTTTGGAAAACTTAATATCAAACAACTGCTGCTGTTAACCATCTGCTTCAGAAACTTCCAAACTTTTTTCCTAAATGTAAATTTATACTGTATAATTCTAATTCATTATTTTACAGTATTGGTGTATATCAATAAGTAGGTATAATGTACTGTATTATGTAAATCCAGGATTTTTTGTTTGAAGGACATCATCTGAAAGTTTTAGAAAATTTGGTGCTACAATAGTGAGAGGTCTACAAGATATTCGGGTTAGGTTAGGTCAGACTAAAGATGGTGAAGAGGATAAAAGTATACCTTTGTAGACGACACAGTATAGTTGCACCGAAAAATCAGTGTGCCTGTTTATTATCATATAAATCATTATTACCCAACTTTGTTATATATATATATATATATATATATATATATATATATATATATATATATATATATATATATATATATATATATATATATATATATATATATATATATATATATATATATATATATATATTTTATAAAATCACGGGAAAATGGAAACAATACCTTACATTATCTTCATATATATATATATATATATATATATATATATATATTTTGATAAAACATACATAGTCTTTATTCAAGACATCTATATATATATATATATATATATATATATATATATATGTATATATATATATATATATATATATATATATATATATATATATATATATATATATATATATATATATATATATATATATATATATATATATATATATATATATATATATATATATATATATATATATATATATATATATATATATATATATACATACAGTATTTCATGTAAATCCACAATGAAAACGTGGATAAGATAAATCTTGATAAAATCACACGGGAAAATGGGAACAACGGAGCACCTTAGCTTTCGTCTTTATTCAAGACATCTTCAGAGGCAACTGAATTACAAGGACCGAGAGAGGCTCAGGGGATGTGGAGATATCCATCTCCCAAGCAAAGTTATACCCAATGATGATACAGGCAGCAATCACGTCCCTTTTCCGCGACTCTTTCCCATAGACATATGAGAGGTCGGTGGGCAGGGAGTCCAGGAGGGTAGCTGCTTCCTGAGCTTCTCTCTGTTTGTGGCGAATTTGGGTCCTAAGCTGTAAAAGTGTTCGAGGAACAACGTAGTTAGATGTGGCTTTGTTGCAGCCAGTCTTGGCAAGGCCATCTGCTACCTCTTTCCCCAAGATACCGACATGACTGGGTATCCATAGGAATGTCACAGTATGGCCTGCATCCTGAAGTGTGGATGTTAACCCTCGTATTCGGAGGATGAGGTCCTCATTCTCCCCTGATCCAAATGCAATCCTGTTGAGAGCAGACCTGGAATCGCAGCAGACAAGCAAGGGGCAGAAACCATCGGCTTCTTCCTCAGCGAGAAGGGCAGCAAGGAGGGCTATCAGTTCAGCCTGAGTGGAGGATGCCCCGTCAGAAACTCTTAAGAGAAAGTTTGATAGGCTCAGGGGCATCGGGACGGGAGTTGTGGACACCATCCCTGGCCCTACCTGTAACGAGGTCAACAGAGCCATCAGTGTAAAGGACGACCTTACCTGGGGACCAGTAGGCGATCCTGGATAGGTGGCATTTGCAGAGGATAACAGGGTTCACCTGGGATTTCGGGAGCAGTCCACCGAGGGCAATTACTTCAGGTTGAAAATACAGCCAGGGAGAAGGAGACGAACCAACAGTAGGGTGACAACAATATCAGGCAGGAGGTCGTGCTCCTGAAGGGCTCGGATGAGTGACCCTCGCCACTGTCTTCTAGATGGAGGTCAGCCTCGGACTGCAGGAGTCAAGTTGGCTTAGACATAGTTGCCCCGAGGATCCCGTAGAATGTAAACGGTAGTTTTTAGGTAAAACTCCTGGACACGATCCTGTAAGGGGGAAAGACCAAGTTTGGTATATAAAGGAGTAGAGCGTGTCCACTGAGGAGCCCCAAGGATGATACGAGCAGCTTTCCTCTGGATAACTCAAGACAGTTGACAGCAGTCCTACTAATGTTGATGAGGGCAGGAGCGGAGTAGTCGACACAGGAACTGACAAAGGACTTGTACATGGTGCGAAGTACAGGGATGGTGGCACCAGGGGAACCCCTGCACATGGTAGAGAGGGGAGCGAGACGCCGAAAGCATGTCTCGAAGATAGTGGACTTCAGGGATCTGCCGTGTGCGAGTTACATACCTACCCAGGTATTTTGTCTCGATAACCCAGTCCAAGGGCGTTCCTTATAAGAGGGGGGGGGGTATAACATGACCATGCCACATGGCTTTTGTTTTCGCAGTTGAAAGAAGGAAACCAAGTGAATCACACACTCTGGAGACCAGATCAAGGTAGTCGGGCTTGGAGGAAGACATAGTCGGCATATCCTGAGTGTACAATTTCTGTCGGCTACGGGAGATGCAATGGAGTGCTTGAGTGTTAAACAAGGTGGGACTCGGGAATCCACCTTGAGGGGTGCCGAGGTTCATTTCTTGAACAGGAGATATAGAGCCTTCAACGCGAACCTGGGCCTGACGTCCAGTGAGGTAATAGGCGATCCATCGAAGAAGTCTCCCTTTAACCGCGCAGGTTCAGCTAAAATGAGGGCAGGCTGAGCCGCATCAAAAGCTCCCTTGATATCAAGGAAGACGGAGATGCGGGCAGTCTGATTGCAATAAAGGGAAGCAATGGAGTGTGCTATGCTGCGATGTTGTATGAAACAATTGAGGGAGCTGTGGAAGCCGCCTATGGTGTGAAGAAGGCGACGATGGAGTATCCTCTCCATCATCTTGCAAACACAGGAGGTAAGACTAATGGGTCGGTATTTCCCAGGATCTCCCGGCTTAGGGGTGGGGATAATAGTGGCATTTTTCCAGTTAGACGGGAGAACCCCCTGTTCATAAGACATATTGTAGAGAGCAAGCAAGGGGCCGTTAGGAATATTAGTACAGGCATTGAGGACGGAGTAGGTTATTTTTGATCATCCCCAGGAGAGGTGTCTTTTCTAGAGCGACGAGCACTGTCAAGCTCGAACTGTGTGAT